GGTGGGTGGGTGGGTGGGTGGGGAGAAGGTTGGGTGGGGAGAAGTATTCTGCGGCAGGATTCTCTTTGCGGCCTTCCGGCGCTAAGTGGCCCGGGAGCTGCGGCCGAGGCAGCAGCAGCTGCCAGTGAGCTCTCGGCTTTGGTGCCGGGGCCAAATGTGCGGGAATTGCCATGTCGTGTTGGCAGTTGCAGGGCCTGCGTTTTGGCACCTATGACTATGCATGTGCAGACTCAGGGCCAGCATGCAAGAGTTGGCTGCAACTCAGCAAATGTCATTGCGTGCCTGGGAGTGCGTCAGGTGAAAACCATGGTCGAGATCTGCCAAGAGCAGCAACTCTGGCAGAGTCATCGTGTTTGAAAGCGATGTGGAAAACGGAAGCCCGGTGTCAAGAATTTGCCAGGTGTCGCCAGTGAAGTTTTTCCAAAGCCCACGTCCCGCTCAGCCTGCGCATACCGGCACGCAGGAGGAGCGCGACTTCAGCCTTGACTCGCCAGAGCACCGGCCTCAGGGTCATCTATAGGCTCCAATGAAGCTAGGCCAGCAGCAGCAGACGGTCGGCATGTGACTGTAGTCGTTGCCAGTGGACCATGTCAGTGTAGTAGAAAGCCTTGCCGCGCAAGGTTGCATATGCGTTTATTTCGTGTTAACTGTTCTTCCCAGGTCACACATTTGTTCGTGGTGTGAGAAGCACCAGTTCAGAACACTCTCTGCATTCAACATCTCCAAGGAGTCAAAGGAGGTAGTTGCAATGTCCTGCTTGGCCATGGATCCCTGGCCTCCGAAGCGTGCGCATGGCAGGGCACTGGAGGCAGAAGGTGTTTCGAGTTCGAAGTTGCGCTGCTCCTGTCTCACTGTCGGTTTAAATCTTGAGGCGAGACTGCGACACCTGTGGCTTTGACTGTGAGAAAAGCTGGAAACACCCCCGGCCAGTAGTGCACTCACCGGTCGTGTCATCTTTTGACCTTGCTGGGCCACGGCGTGTCTTTGGTAGTCGTCATCAGTCGCAGCAGCAGTAGAATTCGCAGCCGCCGTCGCAGTAGAAGTAGTACTTGTAGCGGTAGTAACTTAGCAGTAGTGGTGGTGGTGGTGGTAGTAGTAGTAGTAGCACTAGAATCACTAGAAGTAGTAGTAGTAGTAGTAATAGTAGTAGTAGTAGTAGTAGCAGCAGCAGCAGCAGCAGTAAGAGCAGCATCACCCGAAGGAGTAGTGGTGGTAGTAGTAGTACTAGTGGCAGCAGTTTTAGGTAGCAGGTGGTCGGTAATGGGTGGTTGGTGGTAGGTAGGTCTTAGTGGGTAGTTGGTCATAGGTGGTAGTATACTACTGTAATAGTAGCAAACGGAGGGGGCATGGATTAGCCAGTATTGATGTTTGGGCACACTGCGCAGAATCCACGGTTCTCAGCTTCGGGTATGTGTGCGCAGTCCCAGGTCAGTTTGTCAGCTTTTCGGTTTGGGAGAATGCAGGAGCCAGTTCTTAGAGTTTTGGCCAGAGTACCGAAACCACAACTCAATTCTCATTCCAGTTTGGGGCAGATTTTGAAATTCCAAAAAAGCCGAATCCTGCAAGCGTGTAGCATCCAGGACGGGGCTGTGCAGATTTCGGATTATTGACTCCGGCAGCAGAATCCGCAATGCAGGGCAGCGCGCCCCTCAGGATTCGAAAGTAGTAACACTAGAAATAGCCAAAGTTATAATGGAAATGACACTAGTAATAATACTAGAGGACTCGTCATGATATTGGAAGAACAGAGGTAGTGGTATTGAGTTAACGCCAGTAAATACTGGCGAGTTGGTTGTGTGTGTGTGTGTGTGGGGTGGGGGCGGGGCAGTACAGGTGCGCAGTGCCCCTTGCTCCTGCTCTTGTTACTGCTCTTCTTCTTCTTGTAGCAGTCGTCGTCGTCGTTGTTGGTGGTGGTGTTGTTCGGGGCTTAAGCAGTGAGAACCATTAAGCCGCAAGCAGTAAGCAGTTGGTAGTAAATACTAAGCAGCAATTGCTGGTCGTCGGTAGTGGCAGCGGTGGTCGCAAGGGGAGAGCAAAGGTGGAGACGAAGTGTTTCACTATTCCTTGGCTAACGGACAAAAGTGCAGGCCAGATGTGGCATTCTTGTTTGCTGGTTGATCTCTTTGGAGGCCGCCAAGCAACCGGTGGCAGACGGGCCGCACCTGCGCAGCCGACAATCTGTCGGCTTTGGTGAGACACTGCTGCGGGTGCCCCGGTTTTGGCGGAAACCGAATGCGGGGTGAGCGATGAGTAAGCATCGTTAGGAGCGTTCTGAGGTGTTCTCGTTATGTGTAACCTCAAACGTGATGTGACGGCGATTCAATTGTGTTCCTTGGTCATAGAATGCCAACATTTTATCCGTTGCAACCCGACTTGTGAGGAGATGCCGATGCTCCTGGTTCCGAAGGACAAAATCTCGCGGCCCTCAATGACATGACTTGTCATGACTTATCATTCATCTACAATGTACAAGCTTCCTGTCCACCCTGCTCAATGAACTCTAGGGTTTAACACTGACAAGGATGCCACGGCATTTCTCCGCAGTGCAGCTCCCGACGTACTACTACAGGTTCACTTCTGGGTTGGCCTAGCTCGTTGGGACATGAACTGTTTTTCCCGCGAGTCGACTTGACCAGGACGGTCCGACCGAATTGTGCTTGAGTAGCGATTGCTCTGTGTTGAAATTTTTAAGTAGCCTTCAAAATTTGCGGTCCTTCGCCCAAACCAGAGGGGTTCCTATATAAATTATATGAATAGTTAGTGCATGCATCCGCCAGCTCCAGCTCAAACTTGAGGAGTCCTGGTCGTTACAGTCACTAGACCCATACAGGGCATTTTTCGTTTTCAGTGCACCGGGCGTCGGAGCCATTTTTCATATCTTCGTGACTGTGGTGCTTCAACGCGTGGAGGCTGCGGCTCGCCTTGGTGACAGCCAGCGCCTCGCAAGCTTCGTGGCCTTCCAGCGACTTGAATTATCAAAAGGCTTAGTTGCTGTCAGCAGCAGAAGGCTTGCAGCATGTGCAGATAAATAGAGTTCTTCTGCGAGGCTTGCTCTAGGCATTTTGATTGAAGAAGCGGTCCATCGTCGATTTTGGACACGTTGCTTTGGCAGCTGGGAGTTGGTCGGGGCGCCGGTTTAGCATCAGACTGCCAATGCCGCGACACATCAGCTCCAAGGCATCTTCCAGCAGAGCAGCAGGAGGCACTCTTGCCTTCAATGCTTGTCATAGTTCGGCAGATATCCATCTAAGAGCAGGGTGCGAGGTGCAGGCAAGGATCGGATCCAGGCGTTAGCGCTGGCTGACTCATAAGAAGCAAGTCAAGTCTGCCAGCAGGCTCTGCTTGCGATGGGTGTCCCCGAGGGCAGTTGCAGCATCCGCGAGACCGAGCAACCTGGCAGCACAACCCTGCATTTTGAAAGGAATATTCCATTCGATGCGGACGTTGTGAAGATGGCAGATGTGCTCAGCTGTTGTTGGCTTGCGGCTGGTGTTCTGAGATATTGCGATTCGACATATGAAAGTGCTGCAAAAGAAATCTGCTGCGGTATGGCTGAGGCGTGTGATCCGCACGTTCCTGCAGGACTTCCCTGTGTGGCTTGTCGATGTTGCTCCAGACCGAAGGGACAGCAGGATGCTGACCGTGGTCTGGAGCGAACAATTATGTTGCACGCAGGACGAAGCCACACTTTTGTCATAATGCCTCCTTGTCTTAACGGTAGATGTGTGCATGCGGCACGGCATGCGACTGAGCCACCGGACTGCCGGCACATCTGCATTTCTCTTTCTCTGTCTCCCTCCATCCCTCCATCCCTCTATGCGTTTGCGTTTCCGCAGTGTCAGAAAGCGAATCAAGTCAAGGCATGGAATATCGCCATGTTTAAAAATGTACATGATGGCACTCCGGGAACTGCAGACACCATGTGAGGTTTGCAGCTGCTGTTGACTGGAAGCTTTTCGTTGAGGTGGTCGGCATCGTCAGCGAGCCTGATCAGCGAAGCGACATATTGTCACATTGTGAACTCGTAACACCAAAGTTCCGCTTAAGAACCCCACTCAACTCAGCATCCTAAACGTTGGGCACCGTAGCGAGAGGAACATGCAGTCGGCCTCCGCTTGCGCATGACATGTTTTTGCTCAAAGCATCGGGAAAGCTGTTTCTTGGACACCGAGGAGCGGGGTAGCCGCTTGGCCAATGGGAACTATGCCGTGTACAAGGCATTTCTTGGCTTAAAGTCTTGCCCCGGCCCTTTGGGAGACTAATGCCATGCGCCTGACATGGCATGACAACTGTGAGAATTCAGCATGGGATATGTCAATCCTGTCGGGCCGGAGAGCTGCCGGTTCGTTCCACTTGTCCCTGAGTTGATGGATTTGGCTTCACACAGCTGCCAACCCAACGCTGTCGTGGAGACTCTCGACGAAGGCAAGTCTGCCGAGGGTGCAGGTAAACAATGCTTATAGCAAGTGTATCTCAGGTGCTTTTATCGGTACTGGCGGCAACAGCTCTTGTCACCCTACCTTCATCGTTGTAGTTTCCCCACGAGTGCCAGGTGGTAATCAAAGGCTTTCACATGCGTCCTTGTGACATGGGCTGCAGCGCTGTTGACTCAGACGGTCTGCGGGAGCTGCGCTGCCTCAGCTATGCTGGCATCGCGGACACCCTCGAAGTGAGATTCTATTAAATCTAAGTGCGTGACCCCAGTGCTAAGAAGCGCGGCTTGTTGCCGGTGTGTCGGGGTTGAGGTACTGAGACAGTGCTAAGAACTGCGATTTTTCGCCACATCAGTGCATTGGGGCATTTTGCTCGCCGAACTGAAATAGAGACACCTTCGGGGAGGAGAATGGCGGGGTTTACGCTACGGTATCTCAGTCTCTGTCATGTCAAGCCGAACTGTGGGCATGAGGAGAACGAAGAGATCTCAACAAGCTACGTGGCTGAGGAGGCCTTGAAGACTGCGAAGCGAGGATGGAGTTAACTGGGTTAGCAAAAAACAGGCATGCCAGGAATCCTTTCTGCATGGCACCAAAACAGGTCTTGCTCCAGCCCTCGGAACCCCGACGTGCGACCATCCGTGCAGAGCGTGGAGGCTGGCACTGTGCCTGCGCGCACCTCAGAGTTCTACTGCAGTGCAGTCCGGTTCTTTGCATTTCGTAGCATTTCATTGAGTGCTCGACTTTGCCCAGAAGAGTCGCATGACGGATTCGGGCCTTTGGGAGTTCTCAAGTCCAAGGCAACCGATGCAAGCTCGACGGCGAGGCCGCTCACCAAAAACACCGTGTCGTAGGGTTGGTGAGACTTGCGCAGGTTGCCAATGACCTCCGCAGTGTTTCTGCCCAACTCCGTCGTGGTGCCCCGGCTGAACTCGTAGAACGAACTGACTCACTGATGTAAAGATGCCGTATGCAATAAACCGTCCGTCCATTTGCTGTAGTCCTGATGCACTGGAGCAAACATTTGCACGCCCCCCGATCGATGAAGGCTGGGATAGCACAACAAACGGATCCGAAGAGCGCTCCCTGGACAGGCATGGAGGTGCCTCCCTTGAGGGAACGTCTGCAGGTGCAGCTTCTTGTTCATGGCCTTGTTCGGGAAGGCTACTGTAGAATGGTGCTCCAGGGTTACTTACCTGCGCAAAAAGCTATCCCATGCCTTGTCGCTCAGTGCTTTGGAGAGCACGGAGTGCGTGGAAACAAATGCACGGCGTTTGCAAAGGACTGTCGTGGGTGCGACGGTTGACTGTTTTGGTGTTCTCGGACAAGTAAGCTGGTAGTACGTGGGATTGGTTGGCACCGCTATTGAAGCCGTTGCCAGACCCCCGACGGCACACATGCAGCTGTCCGTCGCGATTGAAGCATTGCGACGATTTGTCCCACAACATCTTCCGGATGAGACTCTTATTGAAGCCACCTATTCCATGATTTGCAGTGGAGCATGGCACTATATTAATATGGTCACATAGGAACAACAGCTATTGGTGCACCTAGGGATGCGCACCCCATGCTCGACATTAGAGTCCTACACCAGCGACCGCAATTTTTGGCGAAGCTTGGGAATGCAGGTTGGTGCATCCGCGAAACATGACTTGAACTCGTTTGAAAAAGGGATTTGGACATCGGTACGGGCCTTTTCTCAGCCTGCTGCTTGGTTTTGTGTTGTTTTGTGTCGCAGTCGTCGTTGAGTTGGAGCATCATGGCTTGTGCATGGCATGGATTGAAAATGTTGATGGCCCACAAACCTTACAACTCTCGGATGCGGTTGATGTCTAATCATTGTTGCTGAAGTTCTGCCGCTGGAGTGGCAATCAGCAGTCGCGGGAACTATGGCCTGAGTTGTGTGTGATCGCATCCGAGTCCGTGTGATCCTCATGTCCGAGTCGCATAGTCTCACGTTTCAGTGTTTTAGTTATGAAGATTTCGCGTGGCTGTGGTAGCTGTGCGCTAAGTAGATCTCGTCAGTGATGCGGGTGCTGCATGCGTGCTTTATCGGATTTTTTCCGCAGTTTCAAAATCGAGCTTGGTGGTTGGTTTCCTGCATGGCTTGTACAAGCGTAGTGGCCATGCCCCGTGGAGCCCCGAAGCAAAAAAGGCTACTGTAGACTTGATTTGCCGCCAGAACTTACCGGCCGCCGAAAGGCCCGTCAGGACATTTAAAGGCCCTGGCTGACACATCGATTTGGTCTCGCACGCTCTGCCTGAGCCTGTGCACAAGTAGGGCGAGAGAATGCAGTCAGATACACAGACCCCGTCCGACGAACGTCCCCAACTGCAAAACCCTGCTTGCAGGTAGCATGGCATAGCTGTAGTTACTGTAGTTTACAAAGCGACCTAGAGTCTAGAGTAAGGAGACCTTTCTTGCCACCTTTGCGAAAGAGCTCCCTAAAGGCCCTGGAGACCCATGGAGTCGCTTTTTCCAGCCCTCCAACTGCATCAAAACCTCACGAGGGGGGGCTGAGGGTGTGGGCCGCCTATCTGCCTAGTGGCCGAGTGGGCTTGCAGGTTTCGGAGGAGGGGGGTGGCAGACGGGCTGACAGTGTTCTTGCAGGTTGGCAGCGCTAAAGGTTTTGGGGCTTGGGGGGAACCCCGCTGTGTTTGAAGAGACCGTGGTGCAGGCACTAAAAGCCATCGATACAGCGTTGCCCTTTGCTATGGCGGCAAAGGCACTCCGGACACGGGTGATTAAAGGATGCTTTGGAAGCACGCTTTCGGCTCCAGCTAGCCTTCCTAGCAGCTGGTTGCCCACCTTGAACGAGAACAGAATGCTTTCCTGGCAGCAGGCGCGTGTGCGATTCTCGCTGGCACAAGCATGCGAGGCCTGCCTCACTTGCACTGACAGCATCGCCAGATCCATGTCTTCGTATCATGTAAGACAGCAGCCTTGGACATTGATGCTCCAAATCTGCCAGGCCGCCGTCGATCAGGGGCTGTTTGAGGAGGCCAAGATGTTGCAGCTTGCTTGAGATGGTTGAGCGCATTCAAGCTGGTGCTACAAAGACTGCGCAGTAAGGTACGAGCAAGCCTTGGATGAGACAGACATAGTGCTTGGGCAGAAGGGGCTTCGAAATCTTGACTCTTGGCTAATATTTTTAGGCTGCAGTAGCATGCAATGATCCTCTGCTGGACAGAAGCAGAAGCATTTGCGGTGCGCTTCAGGCCAACATAAAGCGGCGGCTGGAGCAGCTGCTGGAGACAATGGCGTGATACCACGCTGTTTGAAAAGATTCGCACAGCTGCAGCACTTGTACAGTACTATAGAGCTTCAGTGCCCACCCACACGCCAAGTCTTATGCACAGTCTGTTGCAAGTACTTCACAAATACCCGTTGCAGATTGCTTCTTGCACCTGAGGTTCTACGCTCAACACACGTTTATTTTCTCTATGATGGGGGCTTCTTGGCTGACGACTGGGGAGTGATACGACGTTTCCTTGTCTTTGTCGCTCTCCGCTCTATCCGACTTTGCCTTGCTCTCTCTGAGTGTCCCTCCGACTCTGCTTGTCTTTTGCTCGTTTCTGCCGTCTGCGTCAGTCTCTGTCGAACCGCATCTCCGTGATGCTCTCTTTTGACTCTGTTGTTCAATCCTGTCCAGTTCGACTTTCTGTCTGAGTATGACCGCGCTTCTCGGGCTGTCTGTCGCCAGCAAGGTCATTATGGATCCAAAAACTGAGTTGGGAGGCATGGCTCTTTCTGTTTGATTGCTTCTCAGAAAGATTGCGCAGCTCACACACTCATGTTTCGGAGTATCGAAGTACATCATCCAGTATCGGGAAGTGGCAGGCCGGATCGTGGAAAAGGTCAATGATCTGATTTTCCGAGGCGCTTGGCCGCCCAACACTGTTCGCAAGTGTACCCTTGTGGGAGCTGCCAACTTGAACTCAGGTTTTCAGGTCCTCGCAAGTCATAAATTTATACGGCTTATACGGCTTTGCAAATGCTTCGCGTGGCCCATGCCAGGAAAGCGTATCATTTTCATCACCAACAACTCGAACAAGACTCGCAGCGGTTTGATGGAGGCATCCGGTCCATTGTTGAGGTTGTCAAGCATCTACGAAGGACCCTCGATCGGTCGCACACTTGGGTGCTGTCTCCTCCACCAGGAGTTGGAACAGAACTACCGCATCAAAGTGTCGGCGACCCAATTAACTCTGGATCTCACTCTGCTGACCATCAGTGCCTGGCTCCACCAGCCTCTTTCTCCCCAACCTGCTGAAGGCAGTTGCACTGTCAGGCTGCATACCGCCATGTCTCAGTCTCTCTCTCCGGATGCTTGGCGAAAGCCGAAGGCAGGGCTGTCAGCATGCATGGCTGTGATGGCATGCGCCAAGTGTCCTGATTAAATACCGTAATCACTATTGTTGTGCGAAGCGGGTGGGCAAAAAATATTGTAATTAAGTCATCGAACAACAGCCTCAGCACTCTCAAGTGCTATCCTGCCCTGGACAGGAGAAGTCGCCAGCCATGGTCAAGATCACCCATCAGCACATAGTTACCAGTGCCAACACATGTGCTTGGTTCTTGCCACTTGTCTACTGATTTCGGCCTGGACTTGTAGTTGACATTCGATGGGTATCTCATGTTTTGGCGGGGAGGGTTGCGTACCATGATCTCAGGAAGCAGAAAGGCATTGAGAGGCCCTTCGTGCCTCGGCGTTTGCTTGGTTGGATTTGGTTCCTAGCGCTGTCGCTTTTCAGTTTGCACGTGCTGTCCCAATGTGACCTCAACCTCAGGTCATTTGCTCTTCACTCGCTCTGTGCGAAGAGCTTGCTGCGAACTCAGCTTGAAGCATGGCCCTTGAATTGTCCCGCCCCAAGAGCGAGCTTTCGCTTTGGAGTCGAGATCCTAACATGTCCTTTTTGTTCAATTACAAACGCTTTCGGGAAGCCAGTGTGCCCGCCGACATCAATAAAACAAACGAACACTGCCCTACACCTCGCTGGCACGGGGCTGCAAGCTCATCAGAAGTCCTGGTTGTCTTGCTTCTGCAAATGGTCCTTTCGTCTACAACCGGGAGGCCGACGTCAAGCGTGACACTTGCAAGTACCACCGATGCATCTTCTGCCGGTGCGAAGCCAGGAAGCGCTCAGTCCGAGAAAAGTAAGGAAAACGACAGCGTGACGATTCTCACGGCCACACCAAAGTTCATGGCAACAAGTCGCGCTCCGACTCGCTCGGGGAGCTCGGGGAACTTCGTCTCGCGGGTGTCAGCAGACCTGGATCAGCGCCTGCGGCACCAGCGGGAGCAAAAGAAGAAGTAGGTGGTAGCAAACGTAGCACTGGTCAGAATTTGTACATGATGCTACAAGCAGTAACTAGCAATTGCAAAAGTACAGTAATATGCATGATGATCGTCATCGTCTCACGGGTGGTGCAGTGCCCGCAGCAGGGTCTCCCCACCTTCAAGCTGGGTACCGGTCAGAATGCCCCAAGGATGCCTTTGGAATTTCAAACTACACTGCGACGATCCACAAGCCCTGAACTCGGCATCGGGGTCGTACATAGTCTGAGGAGGCGAGCACGCATGCATTGGGATCTAAAAGCTGGTGCCAGACATGCCAATCGCAGTTTTGGCGATGTGTGTATGACAGTATTTTCCCACAACCGATTCCTGCGCCAGTCTGCGTGAATCTGCTCCTGCCGCTATCTCAGGGATGGCAAACCGAAGCAGGAGTACCTGCAGGAGGCCACCTGGCCATCACTGAGGATTTCTGGAGGTTTGGAACTCGAGGCGGGTGAGGCCCAAGATCGAGGCTTTCACAGACATGGCTACGGCTCAGAGTCAGAACGAGGGTGCGGCTAAGCATTCCGCAACTTCAGCAGGATCGACAGTCACCGATCTAGCGGGCAAGAAACTAAGAAAAGAGTGGGGGCAGTTAGCCTTTCTGCGAGGGGACAGACTTCTCTAAGAGCTGCGGTATATGAGAGAGCACATTTCACGATCGCCACTGCAGTGCTATGTATGTTCAAGCCAGGTGACCGACAAGAGGATCTGCGATCTCATCGCCAAAGCTCCCGAAGTGGATGCGGTGGTGGTGGGATGGGACCAACACTTCACAGCTTCTTGGCATCATCCTGCCCTGCGCACCGTTGCAGATCCGTTTCTAAACTCAGAGGCAGTCACATGAGTGAGTGTGGGAGTTTGCTTCTGGGATGGGGCCTGGCAGCCGAGCCTGAGCCCAAGGCTTTGAAAGCTGCAGCGCCTTTTCTGAAAATATGTCTTACAGTCCTCTTGTTTGAGCTCCATAGGGTCAAGTTCGTGATGTGTGGCTTGGAACTTGCCGGCGAATATGGTCTTCAAACCTCCGTCGTTGCATACACGTGCAATCGTCATGTGTGCTAGCGTCCACCAAGTCCATCGCTTCAAAAAGCATACATCGGTCCTTCGGTCAACACGTCTTGCAGTGCCGCGCTTTAGGAATTCTCTGCAATTGGAAAGAGTAGGTGCATTCTTACATGTTCTTACGTGCCCAAGCATGCTCCAACGACGAAGCTGTTGTCTGTGTTGTGCTGGTCTGAAGTGATCTTATTCGCCTGTTGTGCATCGTTGGCCCGCGAGCTCGCGTGGTTCACGCTTTCTTCTCTTGGCCAGCCACAGGTAGCCACGCAGTATGTCAAGTGGTCTCAGGCCCGGCATGGGGAATGGGGGGGGCGTCTTGCGAGCTGTTCGGGCATGCAGTTGTCGTCGTCTGTGCGAATCAAAGGCTGTGCGAACCTTAGGATAAAGCCTAGGCTAGCTGTGGTTACAGCTTACAGTAGGTATTGCCTTAAGGCCGTGAGCTTTACAGCTACAGCTCACGGCCTTAAGGCCTTGTTTGAGCTAGCAGCGCTAGCACATGCAACAAGCACGAAGTTCATGCTGTGGCATCCAGTCACAGGAAAATGGAACGGAGCTGCCGGTCATATCCTGTGCTACACTCAGCCGAGACCAAAAAGTCGGAGGGATGTGCGGTGTCTCAGTAACATTCGCGAAGACACTGAGGCACCACCTGTGATGCTCAGGACAGTTCCCAGAAGTAGCTGCTAAGATCAGGTTTCATCGATTTTTTACATGGCAAGTGACCCTTACCTTCGCAAGAAGGTCGAGTCTATGCCGTAGACAGCGGACGGCTATCGTCTGCCCAGGCTCCATGGACCGAAGTGGAATCTTGGGTGTCTCTCCCGATTCCTTCTGTCAGAGCCCGGGCCTTTGAGTGGACGTTCCATTCGTGTTCGCGTCTTCAAAGTAGTCGAGGGTCGGTAGGCCGGTAGGCTTCCGCCTGCATTGCGCTGGCCAATGGATGTGGTGACAGTGCTCTTTCACCTTGTCTCGAGGTCAGGGCTTCAACAGCAGGAAGATCCGCGCTGCATGGACCCAAGCCGCTGCATGGTTTTGGTTTCACCTGCAGCGCCGACGAGTCTGGACATCGGATCCTTTGTTTTTTCTCGTTGGTGGCAATCGACATGGCCTTGGCTTGACAGCACACATGCGCCGAGTTTGGAAATGGAGCTATGGCAACTGCGATTCAACAATGCATTGGAATTGAAGAGGCCGGTCTCAAGCACCGTATCTGGGTTCTTGCTGTGACAGGCAGGTTCTGAACACAAATTTGGAGAACCAACTTTGTGCACTTTGGAGATCTTCGAGTACAAAGCCTGTCAAAGCACACATATTGGCCAGCACTTCTCCTCGAGAGTTTGCTCCCGAAGGACCCTGTGTCTGCACACCGCAGTCTCATGGACCGAGTGGCCGAAGTAGTTACTACTTCTTGTCGTTGCGGCTTTCCGATCTAGAGAGTCAGAGTGCACGCACGCGTGACAGGTCGTCGATGTCACATGCTCAGCTGTCTTGCGCTCTTGGTGCTTGTGCCGCTTGTGCCCCGCTTCCAACTTTTTCCGAGCAGTATTGCAAACTCTTGTGGATGCAGCCTCGAAGGTCGGGAAGCCTTCGTTGATGTTGCTCGAGCAGCCGTCGACTCAGAATTGGGGACTTCAAAGCCCTCCCATATCGCAGGCTTGCACGCAGAAACCTGCATAGAGCGGCTGTTGCTGGCTTCAACCGCATGCCTTAAAGTATTCAGCCATCTGGCCTCTCTGACTTAGGCTCAGAAGGTCCTCGGATGAAGGAGGCCTTGGCGTCAACTTCTCCAAAGCTGTTGTGGCTCCTTGCTTGCAAAAGAAAACGCTTCGTCGCACGACTTCCAAAACTGCTGCACGCAGACTTGTGAGTTCGAAGCTCTCGACAGCAACATAACCCAAAAGCCCTGGCTTCGCACGGTTTATTCTGTGCAACCATCTTAGCCAAGCTGGCTCTGCACGAAAAATAGCCGATTGACGTACACGGTATGACAGTCTTGCGACTTCTTGGCGGCAACAGATGCACTAGCCCGTGCGCCAAGCTCAGATTGGCAGCACGCTCGATACCGACATCGAGCTCGCAAACAGCCTCTTCTCCTGCAAATGGTTACTAGCTACCAGTATGAGTTGTAGCCAAAGGGAATTAGAGTGGAAACCACAGTATCACGCTCGCAGCTTTGTTGGGTCAAGGTAAGTGCCGAACTAAGGGCATCAGGGTGATTGGTGCCTTTTGCTAGCACCGTAGATATCTGCCTGTATCAGATGTTTTTGACAATCGAGGGATTGTGCTAATACGAGAGAATCGCTTCATCGTTTCCGAAATTTAGAGACTGGCTGCTTTCGTGACGACCGCAGTGAAGGTAAAGAGTGACCGAAGTCGGGCCTTTCTCGACTTCTAAGGAGACGCTGCTTGGGCACGTTCATGACGGTAACAAAGGTTTGTAAATTCAGGATCGACCAGATAGCTAAATTGCTGGAACCGACTGTCAGTTGTGCACCCACCGCTTCTTCAGGTGGGGGTATGAAATCACTGCTGGTCCTCAGCGGTGTCACCAGCCGGTCGGAGGCCTGCATAGATCACATTAAGCACGTCGATCGCCGTGCCCGCTGCTGGCACTTAAGACTTCATGATCGCATTTGGAGAAGAGCCTATGCCTGCCGCCCACTTCAATCAGAGTCGCATTTACCTGGCAACTATGGTCACATGCTTGCTTGCAGATTCAGCAGAGCTTGTCCACCAGGTGATGAGAGAAAAGAATCCGATGCGGTCTGCCTGGCTTTATTAAGGATTACAGAATGCGGCAGACCGAACTTGCAGACCTTCCTCCCGAATGCCAAGCGCTTCGAGTGAAGAGAGCCCCGAATCACCCGCCCTCCACATGCCTATCGCTTGTGTGCAGTGCCAGCCAGGATACCGACCTGGGTGGCTGAGAGTTTAGCCAAAGTCTAGGAGTCTAGCATTTTCTGCTAGAGACTCGTTCTTTTGAGCATGGCCAAGGAGGATGGCAGCCTCAGGTAAGCAATGGCCTCATAGAATGCTCGAGCCAGCAAGGGAGGGGGCTTGTTCAAGGCGCTCAGACAGATGCACACCCGCGATGTGGATTGCGACGGGTTTCTACAGACCGCTGGACGAGCTTACATTCTTCTTGCTGTTGCGCCGATGAGGTTTGCACAAGATTCACTCTGGCCGTGCCGCATCCCACGTAAAGCTACCCAAGCGTAGGTTGCACATGTTGTGAAGAAATACCGTGCTCCGACCAGCTTGGATGTGCCAGCAAACGCCTATTCTGTTGTTGGAACCTGTGCCTGGATTGTGTGCTTCTGGAGTCCAAGCAAGGGCGGTTTTGAGCCGGGGCGAAATCGGTTCAGCACATGAAGGCCACCCTGGAACCGAACAGCAATCGTGTAATGCACACTTGTGTAGTGTAAGACTGCTAGATGCGACGCTGCACATGCGCATGTTCAGCTCGACTAGGTCAGCCGAATCTGCTGTTGTTGATGCAACCAAAAAAACAGATTTCAGTTTCCATCGATTGGCCTCGGCTGCCTGCCTCATGCCTTCCGCGAAGTGGAATGCAGGCTCTCGCTCGTTCACGTAGGGTGGCAATGCTGCCGCAAGGCGCCCATCTGACTAGCTTCTGATTCTGCTAAGCTTCCCTTACTTGGTGATGTGGTGGCAGTCGTTCTCGAGCATGTTGTTTCAGCTAGTCACTCACAGCAAAATATTTTTCAAAGCAGGACGCCGGCGCAGCTCGTAAAACTACGTCTCTGCCCGAGTGTCTCGTCAAAGTGCTGCCTGTACAGTGCGTGTCGATTCCCGATCAAGTTTGGCGGGCATTGCAAGTCGGTACTCCTTGCAAGCCAATTCCCTGATGCACAGAGTTCTTAGAACAAAAGCAACATCGGCGGGACTGGCACAATGCAGGCAGCGCTCCTGAATGCGAACTTTTGCCAACTTCAGTTGACGGCTGCACCTGACTGTCTTCATTTGAAGACTTTTGCAATCTTGCCGGCGAGTGACCTAGGACCTAAGAATCATATCAGGAAAGGCTGCGCAGCAACGGTTGCGAAGAGTGCCCCTTGCAGACATCTGCAGACCTTATCGATAGCCATGTGTGACCGATAAGCTCTGGAAAACAAAGGCGCGTGCCACACATGGGCTCCTGCATGAGGTTGCAGACATACACTTCGATGTGTCTCGTGCCGCTGCAGCAGCAGCAGCAATCATTACTGTATGGGTAGTCCGCATAGGTGTGAACGCAATGTAGGGCCTTGCACCAGAGTTCCCTGAAAAGATTGCTCTTTCGGAGTTATTTGCTCGTGCTGTCCCAGAGAGAGAATGTTGAAGTTCGCATTGACCCGAGCCGTTGCCATCCGGTTTATTTATGTAGGTTCTGTGCTCTTGAGCCCTTGAGCCCAGTGAACGGAGCCATCATGCAGGCTGGATTCTTTTGATTCCTGGTTCCTTTTGCCGCAACTGTCCTGGTAGTTGCTCTGATGCGTGGGGGGGGGGGGGGGGNNGGGGGGGGGGGGGGGGGGGCTTGCCGAGAACTGCATGTAAAGTGTCCACCACTTGCCTTGAGCAAGTGAATTTTGGGCAATTGCTGCTCGTCAGGCTGGCAAAGGTGCAGGCAAAGGAGGTCCGAAAAGGCTGGCTGGAAGAGGGTATCTTCTTGCTTCCACACACCAGCAGTCCGACTCCATCGATCATTGGCTCGGTGCGACGGAATCCGAATGAGCGAATTGAATTAGCAGATCTCGTCCGCACCGTGTGCGAAAGCCATCTTGCTACTGTAGGCGGCGCACGTTGCTGGTTCCGGCTGCACCTCCGGAGCAAAAGCCCCCGCAGGCCGACTTCGGGATCAGAGCCGAATGGCAGAATCCAGCGAGTTCAAAGCGTGTGACGCTTGAAGAAGCCAAGGCGGCCTGGCAGCCACGCCATGCAGCCAACGCGGCCAACGCGGCTCCTCGGCCTACAACTGCCTGGGGCTCATATATGCTTTCGGAAGATCTGGCTGATGGCAGCTGCTCCGAGGCGATTTCAATTTGAGGCTGCGCACCACAGAATCACCCCAAAGAGAGCAACTGCTGGTCTGAACTCGAGCTTCACTGCGCCTCATCTTGTCGTACGGACATCGTAGAACGAAACCTGATGCGGACTCCGGGCTTCAACTACAACCAGTGTTGGAACTCGGCTTTTCGATTGCAGCTAGCAGCTAGGGCTCTCACGAAGTGGAGGCACGAACAAAGCTAGGATGTATACCTCCGAGCGCACAACCCTCCACGATCTTCATCCACAGCACCGATATACACCGGTTGCACTTATGCTCGCGCTCGAGCATATCTCCCCTCTTGAAACACTAGTGGATCCTGACAGCCATGTGAGCAAGACTGGCTTCAAGAAAGCCGATGACGCGGCAGATGAGCTGCATTGCAGTGGGTGCGGCTGCACACATGTTAAGGTCAGACTGGCTAAAGCTAGGGTTTCGAATCTTGCCGCAAGATCTCTGAGCACTTCCCGTTGCTCCGAGGGCATTGCGCGAGGGCCCAGGCCTTTCACGGTGTCGGCAGCAAGCCAGGCCAGGCTGCTGAGAGTAGGTTTCGCAGTCATCTTCAGAAGGAGGCTTGGGCAAGGGAAGTGTTCTTGTCTGGGACCACCATTAGTGGCCTTCCGAAGTCGCACAAGAGTGCCGCCAGATGCAACTCCCGTTCCAGGCTGCTGAGAGCCGCTGCGATTGCTTTGTAAACTCGCGAAGACACCAAGCCTTCTTGACGTTGGCGAGCGCATGCGTGTGCCTTAATGCAGGCCGCTGGGAAGGCTCCTCGCCCTGCCTGGGGCCCATGGGCTTCGCGTGCTGGTCTCTTGGGGCTGACGGTCGATGCCAGGGGCTCCGAGTCGATTTCAGACCGGGATCTCAGGCTTTGAAGTCGAGCAGTCGAGAACTGAACCACGGACCCCAGACACCCCCAAGGAACACGAATTGCGTCCACCGTTTGTACATTGCATGCCTGGCAGGACAGTGTTCGGTCTGCATGCTCCACCCGTCTTACTTCATCGACATGTTTGAAGATGTCGTGCATGCAAACTGCACTGCTGATGCTATGTGTTCTGCAAGTAGGATCCAAGTACCTGCGCCACATGACAGCCGGAGCGGTCGGCAGCAGTATCTGCAACTACCTGACACTACTCAGGTGATGATGCAAGAGCCAATGTCACGCCACGCCATGCCGAGGGCACCTCAGGCATGTCCCTGTGAGCTGTGCAGAGGCAGCATGCAGAGGCACATCAATTTGACCAGATGCTTCGGTGAAATCTAGCACACATCCTCCGCAGGTGTCGATGCAGATGCCTCCACGACTGCCACTGCAGCCCCCGAACCAGGCTGAACGTCGAAGTGGCGGAACATGGATGCAGAAACAGACTGCCTGCATGGCCCTGAGGCACAACAATCTCCTGCAGCTCCTTGATTGCGGTTTCACCAACTCAAGATGTTGCTAGATACCGAAAGTCGCAGGTCCATCCGAGCAAAATCGCCTGATCTGCTTGATGTACGACAACCGAATTCAATGAACTGCTATCAGCACCGCGCGTTTTTGAGGTTTCAGCAGAATGTCAACATGAATTATCTCAGATTCCGTGAGGCTCAGGCACCTTTGACTTCGCCAGCTACATCGCAGAAGCCAGTCCCCTGCCAGACAAGCCAGGCAGGCAAACATCATCTTCTGGTTGTTGCGAGCAGGATGCGTTCGAAAGTCCTTTCGATAGTCAGAGGCCTCGACCAGTGGATCTTCTTCGCATCGCCATGAAGGACAGGAAGTTGCCTGAAGGTCGTCTTTGTGCCAGAAATCTGAGAGGCTTTAACATGCTTCAGGATAGATCCTGCTCGAGCGAGTCTTTTTGAAAAGGAGTTTGAAGGGCTTGCTTATATTTGAAGTCTACGGTAAAGACTTTCGAAGTTAGTTTCATCCCAACAGACTTGTGCAGCGTGAGATAGGGGGTTGGAAAATCGCTGAGCATGATTCTTGGTTGCGACAAGAGGACTGCCACCACAAGCAGCACCTGTCGCATCTGCGGCTGGTCGTGTGACGGACTGGCCGAAGCAGGTGTGTCCTCGCAAACAGCACTCTCTCAATGTCCACTGTCGGCTTGCGACAGGTGTTCTGCAGCACAGCTGAGTACGACTGGACATTTACGAAGGAGGTCATCAGGCAGATGCAGCACATGCAGACTCGAAGGGCATCGGGTAAAGTTTCGACGCACGTATTGCAATGAGAGCAGCAGATTTGAAGCCCGGAGCCCTTCCCAACGGCAGGCCAGATTCAGCGATGATTTTGGCGATCTCGTCTCTTGACAAGGCCCCCTGCTTGACTATGAACCGTGGGGTCACCCGTCACCTTCTTGATAGCCACAGGCCGGTGCAGTAGCGAAGAGAGTGTCAAGTCTAGAGGCAATTTCAGGCCGCCCTGCACTCCCACGGTCTAAATCTGAGGACCTTGATGGCAAGGGCACAGCTGACCTGGTGAGAGAGCTCGGTGGGTAAAGAATGAGGCTGCGAGCACCATTTCTCTTGGGTCTGGCAAGTTCAATGCAGCTACAACTCGGACCCTGGCTGTTCGTCGTTTGTGGCAATTTGCTGCCAGGACAATCAGCAAGGATTGTGGCAGAGGAAAATCATGTCTGTCCCAATGGCTACAAGAAGCAGCCAGCAGGTCTTCTGGTTGAGCGTTGAAGCCTTCAGCGCTGGCACTGCGGATTTGTGCCTTCTGCTGATGCATTGCACGTTTGGGGACCGTGCGCTTGCGCCACCATCATCCCAAAGAAGTTTGACGATGAGTGGCAAGGCCACGTTAATTCAATCAATTTCAAAGGAGGATGCTTCAATCATGACCTTACTCGTGCTTGCTCGGTTATTCTTGAACTATTGAGACACAATGCGCTGGCATTTAGGTCGGGTGTGCGAGAGGGTGTGTATCGAAGTCTTGTTCTACAGGCTCCTTCGCCACAAGCCCCTGTGCTTGGTGAGGTACCTAAAGCAGAGAGGGGCTGTCTTTTCGGCTCCGTTCGCTTTTGTTGCCGACTCAGGATCTGGTTGCATCAAAAACCTGGCTTTGAAGCAAGCATGTTCGCCAACTTGCCGATGATGAGCCTTGCCTTGTCGGAATAGAATCTGCACAGCGATGGCAGTTCACAGTCGCAATCCACCAAATACCATGCACACAGAGAAAGGGCAACCAGAGGGCGGATTGGAGTGCATTACTCATGCCTCAGCAAGAACTCCAAGAGGCATGCACCTGCTTTTGGCAGATCTGCAAGCGGCACGAACTTGTTCCAGTGTAAAGCTACACTGGGAACTCATCTGAAGCGGCAACCATGGACAAATAGGCATGCCCCTTCCCCGCCCCAACCCGCTCCCCGCCCCGCCCGGCACCGCTCCGCTCCGGCTCCTGGAGACTAACCTTTACTAGATCGATCTCTTCTTCCCAAAATTTAGCTAAGAAGTCCCAAATCCGAAACCACGGGACGGATCCTACTTTGTGACCTGCCGCGGTACACTCTCTAGCCTTTAGAAGAGTCATGGTAGCCAGACATGGCCTAGACGGGGGATAATCTAGGGTGATTAACTGGGCTTGGAAAGATCTCTGAAATTGGGCTATATATTTTATATATAATAGATAAATCTCCTAGAAAAATGTATGGTCTTAGAGAATGGCGGGCTCTTAATTCAAAAGACTTATATTGGCATTAATCTTTATCTATGATTTGTTTTTTCGTTCGATTAGATAGATATATTATTTTATATTATAATTTTCTGATTTGTTTAGTATATATAGAATTTTTGTTTTGTACATATCAGTTAGCTTCATATATCGATTTAGGATCTAGGCAAATAATTAGGTTCTTAGTATCATTTCGTGAGATAAAATATTCGGAACAGTTAGGAATTAGATATAGATATATTTTTGCTTCTGTTGATTCTACTGCCAAGCAAGAAACTCAAGCGGACTATGCAGCATCTTCGCCATCAAAACGTCCGCATAAGCAGTCAAACGCGTGATTCCTTGCCTTGAACGACAGCATACGCATTGCCCTGTACGAGTTTGGCAGGGCTGTGGACTGAATCCAGGACGAGGTCTGCGTCCGAAAGGCTCAGCTTTCTGTTCTACCCATTAAATTACGCCACATGTTTTATCTGTATTGTGTCTGTAGTGTGTGTGTGTGTGTCGCCGCTTGGACATGCAAGAAGAGGGTCACTTCCAAAAATGAAGTGAGCAGTGTTCTTTTCAGACACCAACCTCAGTTCCAAAAAGTGAATGTCGTCAAAACACCGAACGAGACTTTGTGGCTCCATGTAATTATTCGAAAGGTGACTTGCAGCTGTAACTGGCTGAATGGGTTTTCCGAGAAGATCTCGAGCATGCGCAGGCTGCCGGAAGCTCTCGGACTCCAGCTCGATGACACAGCAGACTGGAATTCTTTCCGCTTGCGTTCTTGTTTGTTTTGCTTCTTGGTTTTGTGCTTCAAGTCTCTTTCTTGCGCAGATGCAGCGCACGCATGACCCGCAGCCTTTCCTCGAATGGGAAAAACACGTTGCAACATTTCACAGTTTAGAACGGGAACAACACATTGCAACAAACATTTCACAACTTAGAACGGTTGTTTACCTGCCTTTTGCTTCCTTGCTTCGACATTGTCTTGCAACAGAGCAAGCTGAACGACGCCGTCACAGGAAAAAGTCGCTCTTGCTTCTTGCTTTTTCTCCTGCCAACCTGAACTTCTTCGCCTTTCAAGTACATCGACATAAGTGCGCAAAGAGACTCTATGACTCTATGCATCTATGCGCTCGACTATGTGACTCTATGCACTGGACTTTGTATTGATTACTCTGTGCACTTGACTCTGTGACAATATGACTATGCACTAGATTCTATGTACTCAAACTGTGCACTTGACTTTATGACTTTTTGTACTTGACTCTATAAGTTTACATAGTGCTAAACTTTTCGCAAATGATGCTTTCGGGCCACTTGTCTTCTAGTGCTAGAAGTAGCGGCAGAATTGGAGCAGAAGCAGTTGGCTGGCTCAGCATGGATAAACCTTTTTTCTTGAGGAAGTCGAAGTCCTTTCCGTCCCCCCGTGGGAGGGCGTCAGTCGCGAGTAAGATCGCATGGTCTATACACTAGGTTTTTATGCCTGCGTATAGATAGTTTCTGAGCGCAGCACTGCGTCTGCCAATGCTGCTCGATAGCTCACCCAGTACCGGGTACGCGGATTTCAGGATCTTGGCCATCAACTCAGCGGTAGGCGCCCCAGAGTGTAGATCCTTCATGATCCTTCCAGGGGGTGGCAGGGATGCAGAGGACTTTCGCATGAGCAGATGTAGGACCAAGGCACCCAGACACCGTTGCTCCAGAGCTTTGAGCTTGGACGCCTTCAGTGGTGTCACGTTTTATTCGTGACTGGTTGCCCCATTATCTTTTTGAAGCCGCCTATCGGAGGCTCAACACTCCCGATGTTTGTTGCTGTATTCATCCTTTCATGTTCATTGCACTCCAGCTATGGTCGTTGCTGGTCGCGGCAGCATCCAAGAGGCAAGGCCCATCGACCGGGTCCGTGCTTGAAGCAGAGGATTTCTGCAACAAGCTGTGGGACATGCGCGAGAAGCTAGAAAAGCATTCAACGAGAAAAGCAGCACACAAAACGTTGCAGGATCTTTACGACAAAAAGAAGTCTTGCTTAGTTTGGAAGCGCTTGGCGGACAAAGCGGTCTCTGAGTGTTCTGAGGAGCACTCGCCTGTGCTTGCTGGGCTGATCAAAATCAATGTGACTGTGGCAAAGGATGCGGCTCTAGCTGTTAGGGCAATAAACCTGGGAAAGACAGCTTGCTTGAAGCAGATCCTGGTGGCTTTGCCCGTGGTTGACAGTTTGACGACACACTGCTCTGTTCATGATTCACTTTGGCAGTGCCAAGATGGATGGAGTTTACCTCACTACGCAGCAAGGGACAAGCCTGAAATGCTGCCATTCCTGGCGACTCATGGCTACAATCTAAGCATCGCAGATGCCCATGGTTGGACGCCGGCCCACGAAGAAGTGCGCATGATGTTTACAGAGCCCAAGCAGCGTTTGAAGTTTTTCCGTGAGCTGGCTGGTATGGGTGCTCGCTGGCGCCTTAGATATGAGTGTAATGTGCAGAAGACATCCTCGGCAAAGCCTTGCATGCACCGTAAGTGAGGTTGCTGCTGCCTAGAGGCGCCACGATTGGATTTTCCGTGATGTGCGGAGATGTTCTGAGGTGTGGACGCTCCAGATGACAGTGGACGGACCCCTGCGCATGTCGCTTGCAGGGAGGATGAACTCGTTGTGAATGTCACCGCAGTCCTGGACACAATTCACTCTTCGAATGGGTCTTTGAGTGCCATTGACCACAATGGGTCCACACCGGCACACGAGTGCTTATGGAACCCCAAAGCCATGATGTTCCTTCATGATGTGGTGCCAAAGACGTTTGATGTGCCAAACCACCAAAACCAAACACCAGAGCAACTCGCAGAAGCTAGCGCTGCAGCCATCATCCGGAGCAAGCTCAATGCTCTACAACGCTTAAAAACATGTGATAGGCTTAACTTGGAAGTTGGCGCACATTTTGACTGCACAGAAGAGTCCACCCACACACCAGAGGGCTTCGCCATCATGGCCGACGCTTCCTTCTGCAAGGGCCGCAAGCGTGAATGTGCTGTGAGATGTCCCAATCGCAAAGCCTGCCCGGAGGGAGAATACCCTGGAAGGGGCTGTGACGACGGCTATGATGACAAGAGTGTGGGCTGTTCGGGATGCAAGCAGGGGTTTGGCCGCGGCAATCAAGATCCATTTGTTTGCAGCAAGTGCCGAGCTTCATGGCAGATGTGGATTGTACACCTGCTCAAGCCGGTTGGCATCTATGTCATGAGCCTCCGATATGCGAAAGCAAACCGGGACTATCAGAGCGTCCTGTTGAAGATGCTGTTGTCCTTTGGCACCGTCGCTTCATCCATTTGGCCTTCTATTAAGAATTCTGGAGCATATCAGGATGCGGTTCCCAGTGTGCGATTTGCAGCTGACGTAGGCTCGTCTCATGCATAATGAGAGATTGGGTCAATCTTGTACGTCAATTGATTAATGTGCTGGCATCAACCTGCGGCACTGCAGTCTCGTGCTGATTTCGCACAGTGTGCGGGGCCATCTAGGTGATTGCAGCAGCAAACACATGAGGGTTTCCGTGAGACCCCCGTTTCCATGCCAATGCCTGGGAGGTGATGCGTCTATGTCAGCAACAACCCAGTGGCACGGCCCCAGCTTGGACTGCCTGCTTGGAGTTCCTCATGCACCAATGTGGCAGTGGCTGTGTTTGTCAACATGCGTACCCTTCTGCCTCATCCTCGTCTCAGTGAGCGTCGTTTGCGTGGGGTCGTTTCAAGCTGGGCATCAGTTCAATCTGCAGCTGCTCCACCTCCTCATGAAGCCTTATGCTATTTTCATCAACTGCTTCCTGCCAGACCTGCTGGGTGCTGTGCTGCGATATGTGCCGTGCATGCATTTCCAAGCGGGATACCGCGCAAGGTTTTCAACCTACGATGTCACTGCAGCTTGTCCATGGGAGCTCTACAGATACACCATCCTTGCCGCGACTATACTGCTCGGGGCGGTTGTTGGGCCCGTGTTTTGGGTGCTCGTGATCAAGCGCTCCTCAAAGTGGCAGCCAGATGAGCGTCGCGAGGTCCTGGGCTTCTTGACTTCCGGGTACAAGGACCCTGCAGAAAGTAGCTGTCGGCGGTGTAGGATTGTAAGACCCTCCCTCCCCCTATATGCTCTGAAAGGAGGCCTGTGAATGGTGGGAGGCTGGCGTCCTCACTCGCAAGTGCTTGCTCGTGATGGCAGCCTCGCTCTTTCCGATGAGCTACTCTCCCTTCCTCTTTCTAACCTCCCTTCTCGTCATCATGGGTACAAGTCTGACCCTTCACACGTTGGCATGGCCATACAGCAGCGATGTCCTGAACCAGCTGGAGCTCGCTGTGCTGACTTCTTCCACTATCGTGATCCTTTGTGCCATGATCCTCACACTTCAGCCGATTGTGTGGACTTTGGACTACAGCATCACACACCCGGCTTTGGCAAGTGCACTGCTCCTGCTCCTGTCTCCATTTGTAGTGCTTCTTTATCTTCTCCTGTACGAAGTCAGGAAGAAAGAAAGCGCAATGATCCAAAGGGGTTTTTCCACTTTTTGCTCCGGTCGGGAATCGAATGGCATGAGATGACCAGCCTTGGAACGGCAGCATCGGCATTCGTGGCCAGTAGCCGGAGTTTCTGATGCTTGAGGCCCACCCACTCGAGCCACAGACTCACCATCGAGCATCGGACAAACTGTCTGTTTCGCTCTGCTCCATCGGCTTGTTCAAAATAACCTCTTGGGAGAGAGGGCTGGCGACTTAACGAATATCACTGTGCGGTTATGGACATTGCTGCTGTCTGAAGTTCCGTAACATAGAGGCTGTCAAGGCAAGCTGGAAATCTAAACGTCATGTTCGCTGAGTGCTTCGGCTACCATGAGCTTGTCCGTGTGCTTCTCGATGAAAGTGCTGGCCGTTCCGTTCAACTGCAGCTGCTCATGTAGTGATGTGCGGCATGTTTGACGACTTGAGTACGGAGTAATGTTAAACTGTGGAGCTATTCTTACGTCGGCTGTACGTGCGCAGTTAAGAACGCATTCAGCGGCATGAGGTCAAGCAGTCACCCATAGCCAATCGTCCCGAAGAGCCCTGGCCGCACTCCCTACCTTCAACCCTATAGTCAGCCCAGAGTGCAAACCTTAGCCCACATGACCATCCATGCCATGTCGCATTTTCGCTTGGCGCAGAAGTTCACGCTGGGCACATATGCGCTTCGGCGACAAAGCGACTGATTCGTTTCAGGCAGTTCGCCATTTGTAGTGAGCTACTGTACAATCAGATTAGGACATTGCGGAGCGAGGTTCTACTGATATCATTAGCTTCAATACATGGGGGGTTTCCGAAAATAGGGGACCCCGATATAGGACCCTGAATAGTAAGATCCTTATCCAAAATAAGGTACCCCTCCTATTGTCGGAAACTGGCTGATTGAGGGAAGATCATCATGGCTTTCTGACACGCACCCAGGGTTATACGTAGAGGATGAGTATGGCACATCTATCGTCCGGGTTCACATGGATAACATTCGATGACGATCGATGTCTTGTCCGTCTGTTGTGTTTGTTTGATTGTATTTGTCTGTGTTGATGTGTTTGTCTATCGGTCTGTGCGTTTGTATTTGTCCATCTATTTGACTGTCTATCTCTATTAATCTCTGTCGTTTCTATCTGTCTAATTATTTGGACCCTTATTTCTCTGTCTATGGAGATGACTTGTAGCTCCTTGCCCCCGACTGGTTAAATATTCCATGGTAAAATAGCTCGCAGCCTCCTTCTCCCGCTGCTGGAAGTAATTCTTTCGGATAGTCTGTTCTGAAAGAATTTCGTATCGAATAATAAAAGAATTTTTTCTTATTTATTTTTGATAGATAATTTGAAATTTCTTTATTAAAATTCATCTATTACTTTCTAGATATTAGAATAATTATTTTGTATAATGCGTAGGCAAGAATTTTCGATGAAATATTTTTATTTTGATATATCGTATCTCAATAGAAAAATAATTCGATTTGAAAATATAAGTCTTATGGTTTTAATAGTATTATTATTTCTATTATTACTATTACGATTAGTATTATTAGTCTTCTTATTATTTTTTCTTATTCTTATTATTAAATTCTTACTATTATTGATATTACGATTAACACGATTATAATATTATTTCTTCGGATTTGTAGTTAAAATAATTATAATTATAATTATAATATCTACTAAAAACTCGAAAAAATTGAATTTTCGAGTTGTCATATTTTGAGGTTTGAAATAATTTAAATAAAAAAAATTAATTCGATTTTTCGTAATTTTTGAGGTAAGAAATTAAGTACATATTAAAATTGGAAAATAGAGAATAGAAAATCTAATTTTCAAGAATTTTTTTTAATTTTTTTGAAAAGACGAATAAGACTTATAGTATTTTTCGGTTGATATAAGGGCATTAGAATTTTCGATTTTTTGGGTTTGTCGGAATTTGGAATTCTGCCGTGCCACACATCGGTCTTTATTTATATATTTATTGTGCCTGGACAATGTGTGTAGAGTGGATGCACGAATTGTCGGATTCCTTTCGGGGATTATCCGATAAAATTGGAATAATATAGAGAAGATTAATATGGCCCCTGCGCAAGGATGACACGCACAAATCGAGAAGTGTACCAAGTTTTTTGCATTTGAATTCTTTGCCGA